CCTTCCAAACTTCCTCATCGCTGCTGCTGTTGCCGGGACAGCCTGCGAGGGCACGTCGTCCGCTTGAGTCTTCCCGAAAAGCAATTGACATAATTGACCTTGTGCGGAGCCTGTATCTGCAGGATCATCTTGTGAGTCGACTGCGCACACAAGCTCCGTGTCGCTGATCTCTTCCCCTGCCTTGCACAAGAGCGTGATGACTTCTACAGCACCTATTCTACGGGCGTGATTCAAAGGTCAGACAAGCTTTTGCAAACCAGAACGACAGGAGAGCGGGATGCAGGTCTGAGGATTTGGCGACCACAGAAGATGCGATTGCAAATTCACCAATGATGTAACCTCATGGGACAAGCATTCAAGGACAGATCCCAAGATGCAATGGCAGCCCATGAGCTTCCAGGCTGTTGGGCAAAGTCAGCGCCACGAGGGAGGCTACAAATTCCAGCAGCACGACCAGCAAAAGGCCAGCCTTGTAGACAGGAAGATTTATCTACTTACCTGTCCATCTATCTATCTGTCTACCTGTCAATCTGCGAACATGAGAATATGTGTACAATTTGTATGTAACTACATGTGTGTATGTGTGCGCATGTATTTTGACGTGTAAGTGTGTATGTATGTATGTATCTATGTCTGAATGAATGTATGTAGATATGTATAGACATGTGCATGTCTGGACAAAGGCATATGTATTTCTATGTATCTTCGAGTACATGTGTGGAAGTAAGTCATTAGATAAGCAAGCAGGTCAACAAGTAAACAAGCAAGCAAGTACATCTGCAATACGCAAGCAAGCAAGTAAGGAACCAAGTAAGTATGCATGCCTGTCCGTGTTAACGCGCGTACTCCCTCTCTATCTGTCGGTCAGCCTGCTTGCCTGCCTACCTGCCGGTCGGTCTGCCTGTGTGTATCTGTCTGCATGCATGTATACTGCATGCGTGCGTGTGTATGATCTGTACATGCAAGGCTTCTGCAGGTATTGTAATGCATCACACGTGTATGATGTTCTGGGTACTGCCAGAAATTAACCCTTTCCAGACATTGTGGTAATGCTGCTTGAATGTGCAGAGCAACAGGGAGGTTTTCCTGCTTTTCGCGATGCGTGTGGGATGTGCCCGCGGCGGTTCGCCTGCTGCAAAGTCCAATAGTCTATCGCTTTCAATTCTAATGAGATTCTAATGAATCAGTCTCAACAGGCAGCTTTTCGGAGGGGAGTTTGGGATTTTCCTAAACTCTCAATCTTGCCATCGCCACTGCCACATTCCCGCAAGTATTTTGGGATACGATCCCTCTTTCTGCTACGGCTCCATGTAGTTCCCCTCCCCTTATCAACACCGCGCTCCGGCCACGAGCTTTGCGGAATGCGAGTCGTGTTTCCGTCGGTTCTGGGATGCCAATCGTGGTCCCAGAATTTTAGACTCATAGGTCCTGCGAGCCCTAGGTCTGTGCAGACTTTTGTTATCCGGACGATGAGAGCATGTCGTGCCATTTTGTGGGTTGTTTCGGGGCTGTACCAGGCCTGGACGCCTCCCATCGGCTGGCTGCCTGCCTTAGAGATCTCACAAAGACTCTCGCAGGCCTGGCTAGGGCTGTCAGGCTCGCTCTTGCAAATGCCAGCCAGCGGCATGGAAGCCGTTCCCCAGCAGAAAGCCGACAGCAGCATTTGCCAGGGCCCTCAATGCTGCCACGATGCCTTGCACCTGCTCATCCGCATTTTTGGGGGTCACCATGCTGTTGAGCCTATTGCAAGGACTTGCAAGAGACCTTGCCCTGCTCGTCATCGCCGACGAGATTCGCTTTCATGGCTAACATGAGGGGTGCGAACCTCGGTCGATGCCAAGCACCAAGATCTCGAAGATGTCAGGCTCCTGCGATTCCATCCTGTAGGATCTAGGGCTTGTAGGCTCCGGGCATCAACGCAGGTCCACCCAGGACTGCACAGCAGACTACGACCTCAGCCAGCTTTATAAGGAATGACATCTCATCAGGCATACAAACGTGCCTGCCAGAAGGCGTCGGAGGCGAGGATGCACAGAGTGAGAACACCCGAGATGGGAAGGGCCACCTCGCATCCATGCACATGGTGCCTCCCGCAGGACACACTGTCTGCATTGATCGCAGCCTTCAGGGCAGCGAGTTCTCCGCAAGTATGTACAAGCCTTAGTAATCTCTGCACAAGAGGTTCGGAAAATACGCCCATGACGCGCAGCCAGGTTCCCAACATCGGCAAAATCAACGCGAAGGTGACCATCTTGCCCGGGAGGGAAGCTGGAAGCAGAATCGCAAAGTCGGCCTGCAGCTCGGCACATCGATCACAACGTAAGATCTGAGCCACATGCGAGTAGTTTGAATCATTTCCAGCGGTCGTGGCAGGTTGAGCGAGCAATGCGTACACACCCAGCTCTACATGTCTCTCCTAGAAAGCAAACTAGCTTGAGAAGAACTATGTTCGCCTTGTCTGCTCCCAGTTTGCTGGCAAGGTAAAACCTGAACTTGGCATCGACAAGCTTGCGTGAGAGGCTCCGGCGCGACAGAGCTCAGCCTCAAACCTGAGGAACAGGTTTCGGGCTGTGAACCCGGCGCCTGCAAGACAAAGCACCTTGGCAGGGAAATTAGCGATGAAGTGGGTAGATGTTGACTCTCTGTTCTCCCACATCGCGGGCGCCCCGTGTTGCGATTCCCAGTCAAAAACGTGCCGAACTGGCAGCCTCAGCACTGCACAAGCGCCAAGCGCTGCAGGACCTGGTGGCGGCGTAAGATGTTCACGCCCTCCTGGCGCGGTCCGGAGATCCCATCGCCACACGAAGCTTTGCTCTTCGCAGATCCTGGCCTGGAGCATCTCTGGGATGCGGCCCCACACCGCCGCCCTACCTAACAAAGAAGCCCTATTGAAGGTTCATGGGTAGTTATACGTGGGTTTATAAGTCCCCTAACATGGGACATAAGTATAGTTACCCTACTTCTAACCCTACTTTTAACTACCCATGAACCGCCAAGCTGAGGAGAACCTGACAGGCCCATTCCGGCCCCTGCGATGCCTCCCTGGCTCTCCAGCTCCTCAGTCTCGGTCTCAGAGGTCTCAGGCAGGAGGAAGAGCAAGAAGCCTCAAAAAATGCGGCCCAGTCTGGGCTTTAGGGAGACTGGGCTGAAGGTTTGAAAGCCAGGAGAGGTGCCGAGTTTCAACGTCGCCGTTAGAAGAACCTCGGACTTTCTGCAAGTTTTGCGACATGCCATGTCAGGCAAGTCTCCGCGTGCATACTGCAAACAAACTGTGCTTGAATGTGGGAAGATCGGGAAGATCAGAACCGAATATGATATGAGAGCGAAAAACCCTAGCCTAGGGCCAGCGGCTGCGGCTGTGGAGCTTAATTATGCATGGCTGTGGACACTTCTGATTCATTCGAGCTGCTGTCTGGGCGGCTACGCTGCTCGGCATGCTTGCAGCCGCCGCCATGCAAAAGCATGCGACTCCTGTTGTCGAGCAACGGCCAGCTTAGCATGGTCGCGCAGCACTGTCCGACTCTGGCTAAACCCATCCAAGCCCGGGCTCCTGTGACGAAGGCGCCGAGGAGGCCAAGCGTTGCCGAGCGCTCGATCTTGTAATCCTAGTCACGGCATACAGTACATGTCATGTGCACGAGTGAAACACTCGCATAAACATGCTCCTGGGTGAGATCCGCAAGCACTGCCAGCATGACACCAACAGCATCAATACTTTGATCCAGCGAGCTTGCCCAGAGAAATGGCCACAAGCTTGCACCTGAAGCATTCTGCCAAGTTTGACACTGCTTGCCAGCTTTCCGGGTAGTTGCGCCAGAACTCACCGAAGGCCTGCGTGCGTTGAGGAAAGCAGCAGCAGCGCACTTACCTCCAGCACTGGTTGAACTGCAGCGAGAAGACAGTATTTCGGCCATGTGATAATTTCGTAAAACTACGCTCGAGCTTGGACACGGGCTACGTTGAGAGCCGCCTTGCAGGTTTATGCGACACGGCTGTGCGAGTGCGAGACGCATCATGCTCTCTGCATATGGCTGACAGAAACAAGTGCAAGCGAAACGCAAGCGTGAGCTGTGCTGACTGCTGAGGCCTTCAACTGAAGGAACGGCCGTCTCCCATGCAAATCGCCTGAAAGAGAACTTGCATGATCGCAGAGCAACCGCGTGAAGCTGCCCTTTTGGGATCTGCTGTGCACTGTCGTCTACGGCTACGGTGAGTAAGTGCTGAGACGCGCGCAGCAACACGTGCGTGGCGGTCTAGGATGCATGTCTCTTGACTTGCCAGGGCGCTAAGAATGCCCAGTGTGAGGGCTGAGGGGACAGCAAGAACCTGGGCCCGAACTGTGCCAGAGGCAGATACGAGCCAATCGTCAGCTCTCCGGGGCGATGGCACTGGCCAGGCCTTCCAAGATCGCATCCTGGCTCGACCGCTTCCAAGGCAAGCTAATGTAGCGTGAGCTACCAGTAGATCCGTCAAGGTGCCCAGTAGGCGGCATCTGCTGCACCAACCTGGCCAGTCACTGTCAAATCAGCAATCGGGAGCAGGCAGGGCTGTTGGCTCTGGCAGGCATGGGCGGATCAAACACAACATGAAGAAAGTCACCAAGATATCTTTACCGCAAGCGGCATTGTGTAAGCCACCTACAAGTAATAGCAAGCGAGCTGGAAGTGTGCTAAAGCTTCACTGCTCCCGGCCTTGCACAGAAGCTGCTTTGGCGTTCGTGCGCAGTTGATGTCCAACCTCGGGTCCGAACAGCTTTGTAACGACTGCTCTAATCACGACGACATTATTGCGGCCGTTGTGGTGACCTCGAATCTCCCTGTGCGCACTGCAGCGTCGGCCGGGGTCGGGGCTCTGAAGTGATGTTCGTCGTGCCAGCAGCTGCCTGGGCGACTGCCAGCCGTTTCTGTGCCTCAGCGTGAGCATGGTGCAGCGAAGATCAGATTCTTGCAAATCTGCTGCTTGGCCACAAAGAAGGTCGTCTTCATGAACGGGAGCTGTATGTACAATACGGCACTCTCTGCCACGGCAAGCGCAGCCTGTCACGGCATACCCGTTTTGCCCACACCAGCAAAACCTGCTCGCAACCCAACGCTCGACATTGAATGTGGAGGTCTGCGTTTGCTGGCATACAGCTTTGTGTTTTTGAGGACGGCTTGGCTTTGGGGCCGATGCTTACGGACCTACTGTAGGGCAGCGGGATGATGCTCATCATTTCGGTGCACAGTCTTTCAACGACGTGGTATGTTGAGGCGTTCGTTATCACAATGAAAGGGTGCTTTGGCTGGTGCACCTGCGTTAAGGTCCTGAAAACCGATGTTCCATTAGCACCTGCAACCAGTGCAACTAATCATGCATCTCTGAAGAACCGAAAAGTTAATGGGCCGGTCCTTTTGCTCTGGCCTTGCATGCTAGCCGACGGCTCACTACTTTGGAAAGACAGCTAAGCGTCGCTCCAGTCCACAGGCGACCAGCCTCAAAGGCTGGTCAAACACCACAGCCCTCAGGCAAGCCCATCTTTGAGGCGCTCTAGGCTGGTGTGGATTTAAAAGTTGACCATGCCTCGTACTTTGCCGAGTCCATGAAATCTCAAACTTCTGACGTCCGGATTGAACTCGGAAGCTTTCCTTCACCAACCTCCCGGACTACACCGCAGTTCTCTGACACTGTGACGCTGTTGTGGCACCTTTCAGGCCTTCAGGGCGGCTTCCTCGTCGTCGCAGTCTACGCGGGTGCTCGCAGAGCTCGTGGCTTCCTGCAGGGAGCGGGAAGCGACCTGCTGCATCAAACGTACCTGTGTTATTGCTCGGGCTCGGACCTTGTCGCTCTTGAACGTCTTGCTCAAGGCGTACCTTTCAGTGAGCAAAGCGCTCCAGGGAGCCGGTGAAGCTCCATCTCTGAGCCGCAGGCATTGTGATGGCCAAAAGCGTACAGAAGGCACCCAGCAGAGTTCTCAGGCTGGGCCGAGCATCAAAGAAGACAAATCCGCCGAGAAGAACCTGTGGATGTCATGGCCCAACGATGAAGATCCGTCTGTCCTATGCCACAACCTATAGTGAGCGACTCCCTGCAGAGTCATTCTGGTCATCGAACGACAATTAGCTACCAAGTGCCCATTGAGGTGCTGTGACCGTCTTGAGCTGACCCAGCCTGAGGAGGAAACCATCAACTGAGCGGGAAAGACACGATTCCTTGAGGTTCCAACAGGCAGTGCTTGAACCAAAGAGGCCATGGGGCAGGATGTGAGCGATGGGAGACGTCAAGCCCAAAACCTCAGCTCCTCCTTCTGCACTGACAGCCGGCGTCACTGCTACTCGAGGGGTCAAGAAGCACAGCAGGAACATGTACACTTGTACACCCCCTTCGCCAGTTTGCCCCTTTGCTCCTTCTAAACGTTATGGTTCCAAGGGGCCCAGGTCGAGGAAACATTTGCCAGCATGCCGCAAACTGATGAGAGCAATATCGCAAGGCTGCGGAGGCCGCTCGGCTGATATGTCAGGACACCTGTCACGTCCTCGCAGGCAGCAACGCATCTACACGAGCGAGGAGACTATCTCGGGCGTTGCTGAACTATGATGCAGCAATCTGCAGCCCGGCGGTGACGCCCTGCCTCCAGCACGATCGCGCTGACAACAGTGATCAGGCCCATCCACGGCATTGCAAATTCCAACAGCTGGAGTGGGGAAAGCTTCACAGAGGTGTACCTGAGATGCTGCTTGAAGCAAACGTCCCTGATTCCAAACAGGGGAGATCAAAAATCCGTCGCTAGACCCGACGTTGATGAGACCGAGTCAACCAATAATCAGTCGATGCTCCAACTACTCTGAACTACTCCTACTCCCCCTACGACGACCACAGCATCCACCACCACCACCACCACCACCACCACCACCACCACCACCACCACCACCACCACCACCACCACATCATACCGCCACGTTACTGCTGATACTACTGCTTCTGTGCTGCTACTAGTGCTGCTGCTACTGCTACTGCTGACCATGACGGCGGCAGCCACTTCTTCTTGGCCGTCCATATGCACTTCTGCCTTGTTGTAGTTGTGATGCCGACGATTACGACTCTGCTTGTTGATGAGCGTGAAGTGCCACCGAGCTGCTGCACCACGTGGGTAGTCAAACCTCATGTCCCCCACATGCAAGCAGGAATTTGTTGACGAAGCATGGTTGAGAGAGGCTCGACTTGCTCCATCTTCGGCTGAGCCCGTCGCCTTTCTGGACCACCTGAAGAATCAAAGATCTGCAACATCTGTAAGACGGGCATCCACATCTCTTACAGATGACACTCTGACTCTTGCCGACAAGCGCAGCCCTGCTGTGCTGCCAGAGGCTCATTTATTAATGCCGGTCCGTCCCGGAGGCTTTCGTGCTAAGCTAAAGGTGCTTAAGCTCGGTTCAACTGTAGGGCGAATGCTGCGAAGAGTGTCGACAGTAGCGCCACTGCCAGACCAAAACCTGAAGTGCCATTTCCAGAGACCCGAGCAGGTGCAATCGTCCAGCTTATTCTGGCAAGCCGAGGGGCGTGTGACTTCGCCGTTCTGGATACCAGAAACAGTGCACTGGCTGATGCCAAAAACCGCCATCGTGAGCAGGACAGCTTGCCCTGCGAAGGCGAGAAGATGTTCGGAACAGGAGTGTGCGGAAGCTCACTTCACAATAGCCTGAAATTCAACCGACCGGCTTTCGAAGCTGTCCGAAACAAAGATGATACCACGCCAGCTACGACCGAATTCTGCTGTACTCCGCACGCTTTGCCACCGAGCAGCAAGCCGTAGGTTTTCTGCCATACATGGCAAAGTCCCACAGCACCGCGAATGGAGTCATCAGCAGTCTTAGATTTGCGAAGGCTTAAGATGCTCGGGGAGCTGCCAGAGGCGACAATAATCAATAATCAGTATGCTGCCAACCCTTGTGATAATCAAGATGCCAGAGAGAGAGAGAGAGAGAGACAAAACGGCATGACAGTGAAGTCAGTAGTGTGGCCACTGTGCCGGGCATGGCGCATGCTTACCCGCGCATGCTTACCCGCGCATGCTTACCCGGTTGCGCAGGTCAGTACTGCATTGTCGGCAAACTTGCCGGTGCGCTGCAAAGTACACGTGACATTTGAAAGCCTTTGTTGTTCCCATGCGCGGCCGGTATTGCACGCCTTTGGGGCTTTGGTGCCTGTTGTCCGGTTACGAGAAACTGGACCTCGTCTCAACCGATCGATCCCGAGGCACCGCACACCAAGATAGGTTTGAGGACAGTCTCGACTTGCTTCCGAATGTGCATCCACCGTAAACCTCTTACTCACATCTTCTTTCACCATTGCTAACCAGTGTGTTGTCAGTGTCATGACTGAAGCTCGTAGCAGCTCCTGGCAAGAAAAAACGCGAGCGAGTGGCTTCACCATTTGATACATGCCAACCGAATTCTGGGACAAGGAAGCATTCGACGCAATGTTGTAGAGACTCCATACCACGATCCTAGGATCTGCAAGAATGGTGGGGACAAGCCTGGGCCACGACCAGTCCAGTACGCGTACACTGCAAAGCATCATGAATGAGTCAGATTCAGGGGCACTGCCAAAGCCCTAAAGCCGAAATCTGTCACTGCAGCCGAAGCATCAAGCAGATGATTGCCTCAGAAGCCGGTCTTGGATATCGAATTACCAAAACTGCAACCTGCGCAGACACGCCGCTTTGGCGGGAGTGTCGGTTTTGGCCGGAGACAGCAGCTGAAGCGACATCCTCCTTGGCTGAACGTTCGCTCTGAAACGTGCTTAAACGAAAGATGGAAAGCGAATGCAATCGAAGCGCAACTGCGTGCAAACGGGTCACTCATACACGCCAAAGCGAGCTAGGAGTCGTACCGTCAGCCACGTGAACACATAGTGGCAAATTGTCAACGCCACAGGATAATGGAACTGAGCATGCGTGAAGACCGACTTGTTGCCTGTGCAGCTGGGAAATTTCAGCTTGGCTCTATGCCTTTTTATACTGCACAAGACCGCAAGACAGGCGCTCTGGCAAGCGGCTTAGCACCGTTGCAGGGCCGCTGGCAAAGTTGCAAAGGAATGCCAAGGACACACGCAGCAGTGCGATCATGGCACGGGAACTTCGCTCGGGCAACTACATCTGCAAACAAATGGGTCGGTTTGGGCCCTTCGCAAGGACTCAGAACAGCATTACAGTTCAGTCACACACAACCTATTCAACATTACTACAGCACACCAGCACTTACACTTCTCCATGTGTATGCCTTCGCCGTCGAAACCCAGTAAGTCTCCGAAGAGGAGCTGAGAGCCATCGACGTGTTGTGCACAGGTAAAAAAAATCCTGACACGAAGCACGGACCCCCAAACCCTAAACTGGCCCTAAACCCTAAACCCCCAAGCCCCTAAACCCCAATACCCTAAACTCCCAAACGCAAATACACCCTAAACCCCAAATAGCCTAAACCCCTAAACCCAGAAATCCGCCGGCAGCACAAATGGGAGAACAGGCCACAAGCAAGCGGCTGCTCGACTGTGTAGCAGCCTCCTCTGGCCTTCAGAAGCGAACTTGGAGCTCATTTTGGGTAGTTATAAATGGGGTTATAGGGGTTCCTTTAAGGGATCTATAGGATTTCGGGCTTAGGGTAGTTATAAGTGGGGTTATAAGTCCGCTAATATGGGCTATAAGTATAGTTGCCCGGCTTATAACTACCCATGAACCTCCAAGGACTGGGATCATGCGAACCCCGGGTTCCCGCCGGTAACAGGCCTTCCAGCAGCTTGGTAAGTCCGAGCATCTCCTAGCAAGTCGCAGATCTGAGGAACTTCTTCGACACACCACACCCCTGACGAGCAACAGGATTTAGCGTACAGGTGGGAGCTTGATACGTTCTGCATGTCAGTCGCAGTCCAGCAACCCCCGCTCCTGAGCGTGGAGGTGTTCTCAACACGCACAGTCCATTGCACACTTCTTTGGTGTGGCATGTGTTTTACTGATGCCTTACCGACACTTGTGCTGTACTCGGAAGTCTATTGTCCCTGCCGGCCCAATACGATGCTCTCGCACTTGCGTGCATGGTGCCTGTACGTTGTTTTCGCAAGCCACCTTCATCAACTAGCATGAGCCATCATGCGCAATGGGAGAGGTCGCCACAGGAGATTCGGCAAACCAGGGACTGAAACACCTCTCGACTGCTGGCAACAGCACAACAAGATGCAAGATGGAGGATGCCATCTTGCTAAATGTCGGGATGGTTCGGGGCTCGTGATGGGTCCCTTCAAAACTAGCCAGCACACGTGCGGCGCCGCCACCTTGTAAGTCGTGTGAAGCCGCAAGCGCAATGCACCAGCCGATGTATCCGCCAGACCTTGCGCACCGGCCGGCCGGCAGGGATCGGCGAACCCGGAGCTGGCGTCGGAAAAGGTCCTGGGGCGACTTAAGGCACTAACACCCAGGGCCAGCCAGCATAGCCCAGAACGACGTCCTGCTGCAATGGTAATCCCGGCGCCGTGTGCGGGATACCTCGCACGTTGCAACGAGCAAGTGGCGCTGAACGTTGTTGCATCCGGAATGCCGAAGATATGCCCTGAAACAAAAAGCAGCCGCCCTGTCAAGCCAAATCACCTCTCCGAATAATCCGAATAGGCCTCTTGGTTCAAAATGCATGCTGTGACTTCACACATCCCGTGGGCACGGGGCTCTTCCACTGCTCACAGCACCGCCTTTCACGGCAACTGCTTTAGCAGACTCGGCTCCCCCATGCATGGCAGCAAGCCAAGGCCAGCGGCCGCTTCGCTGAGCGAAGTGCGCCTGACGACAGGCATAGAAACGTTGCAGCAGACTCGGTCTCTGCAACTCAATTCGAAACACTACAAGACGAAGCTGCTGCCTGCGGACGTCTGTGACCTTCCGCCTTGAATCAGTCTTTGCCGTTCAAGTCTGTGCCCATTTCAACGTTCCACCCTACTGCAAGACTTCCTCATACTTCCTCCAAGGGTTGGGCGATTGGTGACGGCTGCCGTCCCGGACCTAGCCAAAAATCGACTGCAAGGGAGACGGCATAGCTGCCGGCTTCTGGCCCCCTGGGACCCTTGTGATGCACAAGCAGTGCAAGCTGGGTGCACAGCATGGCGCGGCCTTCGGCAATCACAGCTGCATGTTGCCAGGAATTAAATCAAAACAACCGCATACCAATTACCAATGGACTGATGCAGGCTTATCACTTCCAAGGTCAGACAAGATTGAGACCTGTGTTGTTGGGTCAGTGTCCGAAGTCTTCGAGGTTGTAAACCAAAAGAAACAGACACGAAGTGCTGGCAATCCATTTATTCTGCTTCTCCCGGAAGCACCTCCCACAAAAACCCGTGCTCGCGCAATGTCTGCCAAACGTGCCACGTAAAACCATGCTGAGCCTTACGTGGCTTGTCTGCCATGCCGAACTGAGTTCTCTGCCCGAATCTCATAGTGCGCCTTGGGCAAGCTCTGGACAAGACGGTGCTGAGTTTCTCTCTGAAAGTTACGTGAGCTCAAGGCATGCGTTCGGCAGGCGCCAGGGTGGATCCCCAGCTCAGGTCGAGATAAGCTCTTGGGGAGACCTGGACTCAGCAGCTCCGACGGCTCACGACTGGCTGAATTCGACACTTCTTCACTTTCGCAGAGGCCTGCGTGTGGAGGCACAGCAGCTGACACCTTGGCTACCAGTTGCTGCTCTGCAAAGGCCAAAACACATTGCGGGCTTCCAGTGCAGGGGTCTCGGATTCTCACCGGCCACATTTGCGTAGGGACTGGCCTCGGCTGCAAGACTCCACAGAGGACCAGGATCAAAGGCATGCGACGCAAATTGATTCGAGCTTGAACGGCCATGGCCCATGGCCACGGGAAGTTAGCTGGTGAACGGAGCGAGGTCATAAGGCAAGCGGGCCGACCTATCCCCTTTCGAGCCCTCCTGACAAGGACACGCCCCACAGTGAGGGTACTGCCAAAGTAAAAGTTGCAGAGTGAGACCCTGGCGAGGGCAGCTCCGGTATCGGCTCGAGGCTTGGCGGCCGTGCGCCAGCCTGAACTGCCTCAGAGTCAGAGTTTCACTCTTTGGACTCGGTGCCAAGCCAAAACCACGGTTCGAGCGCCTGCTTCGGCTTCAGGAAAAATGTCGCCAACCATTTGTGCTCGAGGACCTGGCAGGACATGGCACTGGGCGCATTGAAGGCCTCCTTTTAACCTTTAAGGCACCTTGCTGGCGGTGTAGCGTTGGTGAGGATATCTCTGAAGCATGCCATTCACGAGGTGGCACACCTTCAAGCCGGGCACGGTAGAAGCTGGCAAGGTCAGAAAGGAGAACGACCACGCATCCGCCCTAGGGGCTAACGGACCGCCCCCCCAACAAAGGCAGACATCGCCTGTCTCTTTCTCTCTCGCTCTCTCTACCTCGCCTCACTGGAAAACCAATTCGGAAAGACATAATCGACCTGAAGGCAACGGGAAAGCAAGCAGCGCGTCGAGAAGTAGATTCTTCAAATTGCTATAGCCTTGTGGATGCGCTCCTGGAAGGTTTCGCTTGCGGCGGTGCGCCCGCCTGCAGCACCTGTTAGAGACACATGCAAAGTACTCAGATATACAGACCATACGGCTGTGATCTAATTCCAATCCAGCAGCTCTGGCTTGCGAAAGGCGTCCCACCGGCCAGGAGCTGGCACAAGCGCGGCAGGCAAGCTCTCATGGGAGTCTACCAAACACTGGACTGCCAACTCATGCAGCCACATGCGCGCACCTCATAGAGGGTAATGCCCAGGCTCCAAACATCCGCTTCGGCACCGTGGCCCTCGCCAAAAATGACCTCTTCTACGCTTTGTGGCAAGGTTCTGCTTACCTCTTCGTCCTGCCAAGCTCTGCTAACCAGTTCTAACTTCTAACCCAACGACTGACTGAGTGGAGGGTCCCTAGAAGCTGCATGAACTCTTGTGAAAACATCCATCAACACTCAGGAGCATCGCTGAAAATGGCACCGCTTTCGGTGAACTCCCAGAGTTAGGTACGTTTTCGCAGATGGCAATACATGTCACCTTCTCCCGAATCCCTGTGCCAGCCGTCACGGCAACCGCCTCGAACCTTGGAACATGAATCAAACACAGGCACCAATATGCAGAAAATATGATTGATTGAGCCTCTCGTGGATGAGGACGATGATGATGATGATGATGATGGCGATGACATTCTGTGATGAAACCGTCCGTTGTACAGTCGACACATGGCACCCTGGGAGATCCCTCAACCGTATCTGACATGCTGCTGCGGTTCGATCAAGCCTTTTCACGACGTGTCGGCTGCTTTGCAAGAACAGGTGCAGCGATACTGTATGTGCAAGAGTCTTACAAGCAAACGTTCCAGCCCAGACCAGCGCCGACGAGAACCGCACCAATGGTGAACAAATCACGAGCTATGCAAACAATGGTTCCGGTCCCCCTTCCAGACCTCTGGGGCCATGTAGTCGAAGGTGCCACAAAACGTCCTCAATGCAGCGTCGGTTCATCGGGCTAGTGTCACATCGCAGATGCAGGCAGTTGACGTCCGAACTTTAGCTGATTTAGCTTAAGTTGTTTGTGTGTGAGCGCCAACAGGGGCTCTGGAACCATCAGGCAAGTCTCAGGAACTGCTAGAACCCTGTTCAGAAACAGCCCCAAACCGTCCGGAACCGTTCCGACCCATCGGAACGATAGAAAAGTGCCGATCTGGGCTTCAAAGTTCGAAGGGCCGAATAGGTCTCGAGATTAATGTCACGATTCTTGAGGCCAGAAAACGCAAGGACAGACACCCTCTATTAAGCAGACCACCAGCGATTCCAAGATTTAGCATGGAACGCCGGGCGCCTTCGCTGGCCTTCGTTGAGCTCTGCGCACCATCCGAAGTCGCAAATCTGGCAAACGTCGAGGCATTTTTGGCTTTGACGCTCAAAAGGTGCCCATGCCCGCCACTCGAAGTAACGCGACTGCGCCTTTGGGCAGTCTTCGACTATGAGGACGTTGTCGGGCTTCAAATCTCGATGGACGCAGCCTTAGAGGTTGGATGAAAAGGAAGCTGCATGTGCCTATAGACTCTGTCTTCGAGGCTTCAGCCTTGCAGGTGAAGGTGCGACACGCCATCGACAACCTGCACAAACGTATGAACCGACCTAGGCCCTGGGCCCTAGGCGTGCTCTGAGAGAGGATCCGGGCCTGGCCGAAGAGCCATCCCGCCTGAGGTTCTCGAAGCCGCTTCCAGGGATGTCGAACCAGAAGGTTCACCAAACGACTTGCGAGCTCCAGCACCATGTACCAATGCGTGCTGTCCTGAAACGGAGAAAGCTGCATGGATTCTGATCCAAAATCCTGAAGCAAAGTCGGCCGTCCTCGAAGCAGGCATGGAGGCGCAGGATGTTGGGATGGCGTAGTCTCTTGTGGACCCTTATTTCACGCTCCATCTGCGTGATCATGTTGCGGATCTGGAGGGGATACTTCTCAACAACCTGCACCGGGCCAAGCTGGCAAGTTTTCGAAATGGCTCTGACCCGCCTTCACCGCCACATGCCGACCCGTTTCCAGCTCTTGCATCCGGCAAACTCGTGCCACTGCACCTCCACAAAGAGGCGATGCAAAGCGGCTTGGGCTTTCACAGGCACCGAGAATCGCCTGAACCCAAGCTGTGGGCGTCGATAAACTTGTACTTCTGCGTGAGGTCCCGTGGCAGATGCTCAGGGAGCGTTGTCAACGTGTCCTGAACTTCTCACACGCAATCCAAGGCTATGTTCCAAACAAAGGGCTTCTGCGGCCGTGAAGAAACCGCCATCCTGGGGAAGCCTCTAAGGCAGCTGCTTGGTGCCTGGGCGTGTCTCTCACGTCTTGGCGATCGGCGCGCACGTGGATCAGCTGCGGAACTTCCTCAGGGCTTAAGAACCTAATGCTCGGTGCAGAGTTTCAGAATGAGAACCGGGCATGTGCCTCATCCACTGCGCACGTGTGCCTCCCGCAGATTCTGAGTGGACTCCAGACTTCACCTCTAATACACCTCTTGCATCCTCTCAGTGATCCTGTGGCCTCTCGAGGCATGGCTCTTCCGGAAGCTCCGGCCTCAGCTGAGCAGCTGGACGCACGTCGCGAGCAGATGGCTTAAGCCTGAAGCGCTTTTTGCTTTTGCACTTCAGGGCTGCGGCGGGCTGACAATGCCAGTGCCTCGCAAGGCTAACTGCGGAACATGAATCTGCAACAGGGCAACCACTGAGCCCTGAGCTTGTTGACGCAAGCGATGAGTTTTCCGTCTGCTTGAGACCCGCAGGCACCTCGGAATGCTCATTTCATCTCATGTTCACTTTGCTCAGTCTGCTTGAGAAGACTGGACGAAACCGTCGGCGAGGTTGGATGTGAGGGAAAGTGTTAGCGACGACTAGCAATCATTGCAGCATTATAGTAGTCGCAATAGCATTATCCACACATGTGCAGCTGAGGTTTACGACAGAATGATGTCGAAGCTCTGACCTCAAGGTGTGGGCTCTTCGTGTAGCACCACTGGTAGCCTGTTGTAGCTGATAACAGTAGCGCAAGAGCAGAGGCGGCCATCAGCACCGGAAACAATAGCAGCAGACATTGCAAGAGGGAGGCCTCGGGGGGGGGGGGGAGGGGGCACCCTGACTTCAATAAACATCCATAGGCCACCTGCGATTTGTCACGTGTTTCGTTAGGTGGGGTTAGGGCAGAATCCACGTGAACATGTTGATTTGTCATGAGAGGGGTCCATGCCTTCGAAGCCACTGAGAAGTAGTCTTTGCAAAACCAACTCCAGCTGAGTCCCAACAGGACTCGCTTTCGTAACAAGTGGTTCATCGCGACTCCCATTTATGGAACACCGGACTTGGCGGCACCATCTACGGCGTCCCGAGCAGGCGAGACAACAACATGAGGCCTCGGTTGGTCCCTTCCATGGATCTTGGTGAAGGAGAGATACCTCATGATACCTCGCTAGCTTCTTCCCTCTGTCTGTCTCGCTCTCTTCTATGTCAGCATCTAACAGTATTCAGCAGCGATAAACATCTTACATCTTATGTCTCGAGCTTAGGGCTACGGTTAACGAATGTTAACGACGGGTAATGACAAAGCGATGTTCATCATTGTTCATCCGTCGACTGAGGACTGAAGACAAGCTGATTCGGGCTGGACGGTGTTGCTGGAAGGTGGGGGCCTCCCGTGATTCAAGTTGAGCCAAGCTGTGGAGCTCAAAGGCATGCGCTTGTCAGCGAATCATCGAACTTCTGTTTGAGGCTGACAGAAACCGTGACAAGCTTCATCTTTTTGCAGCGATGGCACGGCAAGTGCTTCAAGTTGAGAGAGTCGCAGAGGCCTAGGATGCAGTTGATTCCTAGTCTTCGTTGTCGCAGAAACAGCACTGACCGGGGCTCTCTCGAATAACAAACAACATGCATTTGAGAGCTACCACAAGTCATAACTGGGCGATGTGCGGCTTGTCCTGCAGGGCGCCTTCGTCCCGAGACGGAGGCGAGGCAGATGTTCCGAAGCCCTTAGCACCCGACCAATGCAACTCGGTCCGAGACAGCTCTTGTGTCCGTTAGTCCCATTTTGCTGGGCCTCGAGCATTTCCACACAGCTGCAAGCCCCGGCAAGAAGGTCCCAAGCAGGCCGAGATACGCCCTCGGCACACGACTCAAGCCCCACCCCTCCCCGGGCTGAGTCTTTCGGTTGGGGCCGCCGCTTCTGATGCCCGATTCCTTCTTCAGGAGACGCGGCCAGTCGGACAAGTCACGTGCCTTTCGCTCAACCTCATTCGGCAAGACAAAAAACTTCAGACTTGTCTCAAGCGCGTTCTTGGGTATGTATAGAGCTTTAGCCGCTGCGTGCTGTTTCACTTTCTGAGTCTATGCAGGTACGTACTGCGAAGAAATCCTCACCCAGGCAGTCAACATCTCAATACCTGCCAGAACCCGACTGGTTGAAGCAGAACTGTGGCAGCGCGCCTGACTGGATACCACATCAAGCTGTTCTTCACGTGGCCTTCGGGGGCAAGAACTTCGGAGGATTTGGGTTAGGTCTTGCCATTGCCGGCAGAGGTGTGGAGCCAGCCTGTGCATCTGTGGTCGGGCAGCCCATGCGCTGTTGAGCTGTCGAAGATTGTCCTCGCAAGCCGTTTCGTGGATCTTGGCCCTCGTCTTACTGGGGAAGCCGTGCATGCGCAAAATTGCTTGCTGTGCAGGATCGTGTCCTTGATTCTCTCGGCCTGTTTCTCAGTCTGGCGCAGCTTGGCGGTCACCTCCTGCATCTGCCGCCAGTTGGGGTTCGTCTGCGTGGCGGTCGCCGGTGATGCCATTGAGCGCAGAGGCTACATGAAAGAAAGAACTGATCTTCGCATGTTCGCGACTTCTCGCACAGTTCGCATTCGCGCAGGCAGTGACTGTCACTGAGTCTACAGATGTTTGAGGCTACAGGCACTGAAACGTGCAGAGAACGTTATTCCTCATGCAGACACGATGGACTTAACTAGAATTTGGTTACCAGTGACAAGATGTTTACAACTAGGCAAGTTTGATGTTCATGTCAGAACCATCATGCAATCAAGCTGTCGGCGTCGTGGAAACAAGACGCACTGAGGCTCTGCTGATTCTGTCACTGCGACTGAGCGGATCAGTTTCTGTGGATACTGTTTTCGCTGCAGGCATTGCTCTCTGCGCACAGCAAGACCTAACGAATTAACGAAGAAACCCCGGCCGCTCTGCATCTTGACTTTGGCAGAGCTGCTGGCCCGGGGCCAAATGGAATTTTCATGCAACGACGATGCATCCCTTCACCGCAGCTTGGACATGAACCTTACAGTCTTCATGCTGCATCTCCCAACGACTTCGACGAGACATGAACTCGATCCTGCCAGATCCAACCAAACCAGGACAGGGCACTCCCGGGACGGAGGCAGTGGCCTCCCCCGGCCTTCAGGACGAAAGGGGCTCCAGGGGCTCTGGGTTCGGGAGGTTGCTGCTCACTGATCTTGGAGGGAGCCTGTGCATCCGTGGTCGGGCAGCCCATGCGCTGTTGAGCTGTCGAAGATTGTCCTCACAACTGCTAGCAAGCCGTTTTGTGGATCTTGGCCCTCGTCTTACTGGGGAAGCCGTGCATGCGCAAAATTGCTTGCTGTGCAGGATCGTGTCCTTGATTCTCTCGGCCTGTTTCTCAGTCTGGCGCAGCTTGGCGGTCACCTCCTGCATCTGCTTGTGAGCCGTCGAGTTGAAATCCTTCTGCGCCTGCAAGGGCACATTGAAATTTCAGAGCGTGCAAGAGGATTGGGGCACAGCGCCGCATTCCCGCATTCTTTTTCAGGAGAACCGAGACAGACCCAGTTTAGGAAGTTTAGGTGCAGAGAACCAAACCCCACCGCAGGAGGGGGTCATTGACGTCGGGGGGAAGGATTTGATCGATCAGTATGCATGTATTGTACAGAGGTCAGGTCATGTAGAATAAGCGCCGACATTCTGATAAGGTCTATAATCTAGACAGCCGGATGAGTCTTTAGCCAAAAAAGGGCAGACTTTTGCAAACAATCTAAAGAGCCGTGGAATTTCTCGAGGGCAAGGAAAGTTCAGGAAAAGCCTTGCACAAAGCAACCGAGGTAGGACTGGAAATTGTATGTGATTCACAACAGTATTTGTCAAACTCGGCGCTCTGCATTCTACATGAACGATATCTTGCAAACCCCGTCTTGTCAAGTACGCTCTGATTGAATATGCTATTGGGTTTTTGTAGTCCTGGGTCCAGAACGCTGCTGTAAGGTTTATTTCCAGAGGTCTGTGCCTGCATAGGTTGCGGATCGAGAGGACCCGGCTGCGATATGTCCGCGCCAGGCATGCATCTCTGCCTCAGATGGGGAGCTTGAGGTGCACGGCCTGTGTTTTTTGTGGGAATGGGGGGAGAGGGGGGAGGGTGTGGTTGGTGGCATGCGGCCTGTAGTTTACAGAGTGCGGGAAGGGCTTCGTGTCGGCCGGCAAGCCTCAGGCCCAATTGGGGGACGGAAAAAGGACAGGTCTCGGGGCCTCGGGTTTCAGGTGAAGCTCGAGGCTCAATCACTCACCGGACCCGGCCAAAGCAAGTCTCGACAAACAGCAACGGCTTCGCGTGCGAGGTGCATCGCTGTGCCATACTCACGCTGCACCTGCGGGAAACCAAGTGGCTTCAACAACCCAAACAGCAAGTCAATGAACATAACCACATAAATGCCATTGCGTACCCAGCGGTACTATATAGCGCTTCGGAGTGCTATGGACAGTTAAGAACAGAGCAATGCTAACGCGGCTAGTCCTGCGTGCCGTATGAGCACGGAATCGTCATCACGAAGGTGAGTCTGTTGGATTAGGCTTGGGAGCATTGGACTTCTTAAATTTAATGAGCAATGGAGAAGGGAAAGTATTAAGTAGTAGCCCAATGTGCCGTGATATCGGATGTGGCAGTAAGCCCAGGATTTGCGATGAGCTGTTCTAGGGCTTTGGGGATCTGCATTTGGGCGCCGAAGGGACACCACAAGGCCGTAAGTGCAAAGTCTGAAACTGAAAATCCCAGCCAGCTGCCACTGTAGGGCGCATGAAGGCCTAGAAGAAATGCGAGCCACATGTCAATGCTTGCGCCTGGTGCTGAATCTGGTGAGCGTACCTGGCAGGGCTGGTGAGATCCCTCAAGCCCCAAATATGAACCCTTCGAGTTTATGTTGCGTAGTAGAGAGGGTGCTCGGCCACGTGGTATCCTGATGATGCATAAATGCAAAAAACACAAACATTATATAGATATAGACAACTATGGTATGTAGGTATGTAATGTTGGTATGTATGTTTTGCATACTTTTATACTATATATATGTGTATATATATATACAGATGTGTGGCACGGACCTTTAGGTATAATGTGTGGGTTTGTTGTTGGGTCAACCTTAGTTCTTTCCCACTCTGGAGGCTGTTTTGCAGGCACCGTCCATCAAACAGCCGTGAGTCTAACTAGCGGTTGAACCAACAATCGGTCGAAACACAGTGAGATGCTATGTTGCCTTTGTCACGCTGTGACAGATCCAGGCCGCGGATGCTGTGGGGAATGGTAAGCGGACCTCCGATGATACAGTTCTCGAGGCCGTAAGGCAACGAAGAGATTTTGATATGTGGTTACAGACCGTGCCTAGACCTCTGGAGCGGTTCGTCGAGTAGCACATGACAACAGAAGCTGTCACACCTTCGTCATATATCTCTGACGATCGCACAACCTTTTTCATCTGCTTTCATATCGGCGGCGCGTCTGCGATTCGGCGTTCATTCGTCTCCTCTCCTTTTCAACACATGGAAGCGAGCGTTCGATCGAAAAGAAGGGACGGAGCTCTTCCAAACTTCAAACCTTGACAAGAGAAGCCTGGTCCTCCCTTGCGGCCTTCAAAGGGCAAATAGCAGCCTTCTACCTCATCCTCTGAAACAAGCAGAAAACTCAATCCAAGCTACTTTCGGTAAAAGAAGACAGCTTCTTTCCAGAAGAGCTCTTCATCTTTTGGCAAGTCTTCATCCTAATCCTACGAAGACTGAAGAGAGCTCGCCCCTGAAAGCATGGACAGAGTTCCCCCGGTATTCAAAAGCAATGCATAAGTTCTGTACTTCATCCTCGACAAGAAGAGAGCTTCCTTCAACTTATTAACGAGACAGACGAGGGCCCCATCTCAAATTAGCACACAAGCCCATCCAACTTCGCGAGAGAGCAGAGTGCTCATCCTCGACAAGAAGAGACTGAGAGCTTCCTCCAATCTGATGAGACAGAAGAGAGCTCCATTTACAAAATGACAACCATGTCCCTACAAGATATCGAGGAAAAGGAGAGCTCCGTTTGTTTACCCCTCAGTCGGCAAGAAGAGACAACGAATCTCTACAGGTAAGAAAAGGAGATCATGACTATCCCTTCTACCTTTTCAATATAAGGAAATGAACAGAAGAGATAGCGGAGCTCCTACCCAACCTTCAAAGAGAGAAATCCTGCCTTTGCCTCAACCTTGAAAACTCCCCCACCTCATGCCACCAACAAGAAAAGAGCTCCTCCCCAAGATTTTCGTGGTAAGAGAAGAGAGCTTCTTTCTCGAAGAGAGGTCCATTACCTGTTGGGAGGCCGCTTCTCAGTCTTGCGAAGACTGGAGGGACTTCACTCCTAGCCGTAGCCAGAGAGGACAGAGACGACCCCCCCCCAACAGTGTGTGAGTTCATCGAAAACAGGAAGAAAGCTCGCTCCAATTTCATAAGAAAGAAGAGGGCTGCTCCAAAAACCTCTTGGTAAAGGAAGAGATCCCGTGGCAGGTCCTCCACCCCAGCAATTGAGAAGACAAGCCCCTCTAACTTCTCGGAAAAACACGCGCTCTGTTTACCTCTCTGTCGACAACAAGAAGACTCCTTTCTCTCTTAGTCAGCGGCGAGAGCTCCTGACCATCTCCTCTCCTCTTCAATACATTCAAGCGTGCGTTCGATCAAAAAGAAGGGACGGAGCTCTTCCAAACTTCAAACCTTGACAAGCGAAGTCTGGTCCTCCCCTGCGGCTTTCAAAAGGCAAAGAGAAGCCCTCGACCTCACCCTCGGAAACAAGCAGAGAACTCAATCCAAGTTACTCTTGGTAAGAGAAGACAGCTTCTTTCGAGAAGAGAGCTCCTTTGCCTGTCAGTAGAGGAAGAGATACACTGGCAAAAGAGGACAGAGCTCCAGCAGCTTCCAAAAAGAAAAGCCCTCTCTACCTCGTCCTCGACAAGAAGAGACTGAGAGCTTCCTCCAATCTAATGAGACAGAAGCAAGCTCCATCTCAATAAAAAACAAACAAGCCCCTCCAAGATATCGAGAAAGAAAAGAGCTCCGTTTACCCCTTAGTCGGCAAGGAGAGACCTCCTTCTTTCTAGGCAAAAGGAGATGCTGACTATCCCCTTTACCCCTTCAAAAGACGAAGAGAGCATACGCTCAAAGAAAGGGCGGAGCCCTTCAAACAAAGAGGTCTGGCCCTCCTGAAAAAGAAACAGAACTCGTCCACCTCATGCTCTAAAAGAAAAAGAAGAGAGCTCCCCCCGACATTTTCGTTGTAAGAGAAGAGAGCTTCTTTCTAGAGAGCTCCATTACCTCTTGGTAAGTCGCTTCTCAACTTTGAGAAGAGTGAAGAGACCTCACTCCCAGCCAGAGAGGACAGAGACGCCCCTACCCTCAACAATGAAGCAATACCATATCATCCAAAACCAAAAGAAAGCTCCCTCCAATTTCATAACGAAGAAGAGGGCTGAGGAGGAGATCCCGTGGCAGGTCCCCCACCCCCAACGACCCAGAAGACAGGCCCCTCTAGCTTCTCGAGAAACATTACATAAGCCCCTCCAACTTCGCGAAAGAGGAGATCGCCCCACTTATCCCTCAGTCGGCGAAATAAAGCCTCTTTTCTCCCTTGGCAAGGGAAATTAAGAGAGCTCCTGACTATCCCTTCTTCCTCTTCAGAAGTTGGACTGGAGCTTACCAGAGCTCCCCCAACTTCCAAAGACAAAAGCAAAAGAAGAAGAGACTGAGAGCTTCCTCCAACCTGATGAGACAGAAGAGAGCTCCATCTACAAAATGAAAACCATGTACCTACAAGTTTTCGAGAAAAAGGAGAGCTCCGTTTACCCCTCAGTCGGCAAGAAGAGACCAAGCTTCTCTACAGGTAAAAAACGAGATCCTGACTATCCCTTCTACCTTTTCAAAATATGGAAGAACATGGACAGAGTTCCCCCGGTATTCAAAAGCAATGCATAAGTTCTGTACTTCATCCTCGACAAGAAGAGAGCTTCCTTCAACTTATTAACGAGACAGACGAGGGCCCCATCTCAAATTAGCACACAAGCCCATCCAACTTCGCGAGAGAGAAGAGTGCTCATCCTCGGCAAGAAGAGACTGAGAGCTTCCTCCAATCTGATGAGACAGAAGAGAACTCCATTTACAAAATGACAACCATGTCCCTACAAAATATCGAGGAAAAGGAGAGCTCCGTTTGTTTACCCCTCAGTCGGCAAGAAGAGACAACGCTTCTCTACAGGTAAGAAAAGGAGATCATGACTATCCCTTCTACCTTTTCAATATATGGAAATGAACAGAAGAGATAGCGGAGCTCCTACCCAAGCTTCAAAGAGAGAAATCCTGCCTTTGCCCCAACCTTGAAAACTCCCCCACCTCATGCCACCAACAAGAAAAGAGCTCCTCCCCAAGATTTTCGTGGTAAGAGAAGAGAGCTTCTTTCTCGAAGAGAGGTCCATTACCGCTTCTCAGTCTTGCGAAGACTGGAGGGACTTCACTCCTAGCCGTAGCCAGAGAGGACAGAGACGACCCCCCGCCCAACAGTGTGTGAGTTCATCGAAAACAGGAAGAAAGCTCGCTCCAATTTCACAAGAAAGAAGAGGGCTGCTCCAAAAACCTCTTGGTAAAGGAAGAAATCCCGTGGCAGGTCCTCCACCCCAGCAATTGAGAAGACAAGCCCCTCTAACTTCTCGGAAAAACACGCGCTCTGTTTACCTCTCTGTCGACAACAAGAAGACTCCTTTCTCTCTTAGTCAGCGGCGAGAGCTCCTGACCATCTCCTCTCCTCTTCAATACATTCAAGCGAGCGTTCGATCAAAAAGAAGGGACGGAGCTATTCCAAACTTCAAACCTTGACAAGCGAAGTCTGGTCCTCCCCTGCGGCTTTCAAAAGGCAAAGAGAAGCCCTCGACCTCATCCTCGGAAACAAGCAGAGAACTCAATCCAAGTTACTCTTGGTAAGAGAAGACAGCTTCTTTCTAGAAGAGAGCTCCTTTGCCTGTCAGTAGAGGAAGAGATACACTGGCAAGAGAGGACAGAGCTCCAGCAGCTTCCAAAAAGAAAAGCCCTTTCTACCTCGTCCTCGACAAGAAGAGACTGAGAGCTTCCTCCAATCTAATGAGACAGAAGCAAGCTCCATCTCAATAAAAAACAAACAAGCCCCTCCAAGATATCGAGAAAGAAGAGAGCTCCGTTTACCCCTTAGTCGGCAAGGAGAGACCTCCTTCTTTCTAGGCAAAAGGAGATGCTGACTATCCCCTTTACCCCTTCAAAAGACGAAGAGAGCATACGCTCAAAGAAAGGGTGGAGCCCTTCAAACAAAGAGGTCTGGCCCTCTTGAAAAAGAAACAGAACTCGTCCACCTCATGCTCTAAAAGAAAAAGAAGAGAGCTCCCCCGACATTTTCGTTGTAAGAGAAGAGAGCTTCTTTCTAGAGAGCTCCATTACCTCTTGGTAAGTCGCTTCTCAACTTTGAGAAGAGTGAAGAGACCTCACTCCCAGCCAGAGAGGACAGAGACGCCCCTACCCTCAACAATGAAGCAATACCTTATCATCCAAAACCAAAAGAAAGCTCCCTCCAATTTCATAACGAAGAAGAGGGCTGAGGAGGAGATCCCGTGGCAGGTCCCCTACCCCCAACGACCCAGAAGACAGGCCCCTCTAGCTTCTCGAGAAACATTACATAAGCCCCTCCAACTTCGCGAAAGAGGAGATCGCCCCAGTTATCCCTCAGTCGGCGAAATAAAGCCTCTTTTCTCCCTTGGCAAGGGAAATTAAGAGAGCTCCTGACTATCCCTTCTTCCTCTTCAGAAGTTGGACTGGAGCTTACCAGAGCTCCCCCAACTTCCAAAGACAAAAGCAAAAGAAGAAGAGACTGAGAGCTTCCTCCAACCTGATGAGACAGAAGAGAGCTCCATCTACAAAATGAAAACCATGTACCTACAAGTTTTCGAGAAAAAGGAGAGCTCCGTTTACCCCTCAGTCGGCAAGAAGAGACCAAGCTTCTCTACAGGTAAAAAACGAGATCCTGACTATCCCTTCTACCTTTTCAAAATATGGAAGTGAACCTAAAAGATGGTGGAGCTCCCACCCAGCCTCTTTTCCTTCTTTCAACCATGAAAACTCCCCCACCTCATGCTGCCAACAAGAAGAGAGCTCCTCCCCAAGAGTTCCGTGGCAAGAGAAGAGGGCTTCTTTCTAGAAGAGATGTCCATTATCTATTGGTAAGCCGCTTCTCAAGACTGGAGAGACTTCACTCCTAGCCACAGAAGACAGAGACGACCCCCCCAACAGTGTGTGAGTTCTCTACCTAATCATCGAAAACAGGAAGAAAGCTCGCTCCAATTTCACAAGAAAGAAAAGGGCTGCTCCAAAAACCTCTTGGTAAAGGAAGAGATCCCGTTGCAGGTCCTCCACCCCAACAAGAAAAGGGGATTCTTTAATAATTCGGAAAAATGCTTGAAATTCTTTAAAAAATAAAGACAATTGTTTCAAAGTGCTTCGAAAAATTTCCCTCGAAAGGAACACTTGTTGAAACAATAAAACTATTTGAAAAAAAGAAGACCCTGGCCAGGCGCGGCCGTCGCCGGCCAGGATTCTTTAAAATTTTTGAAAAAATTGAAATTATTGAAATTTTTGAAAAAATAAAGACAATGTTCTCAAAAATTTCAATTTTTTTCAAAAAAATTGAAATTATTGAAACTGGTTTCTGTATTCTCGTATCCCCTATGCGTCCTTCGAAACAACCGAGACCTGCAAATCATACATAGAGGTCCAATACACATACAGATGTATGTACACATATTACACATATACATATATATATATATATATACACATGCTCGGAGCCATGCGGCCGTGCCAGGCCTGAAGCCCTGAACCTTCCCTGTCATCGGAGCCCACCCGTTAGCCTCGGCAAAAGAACGATCGAAGTTAGGGCATGTAATACGAAGAAAAGCAATAATAGTTATGAGAGCATTAAGAGTCGTGCGAGGGCTGCTTATTCTTAAGTTATGCCTCCATCCTTGGGGGCTCCCTTTCGTCGGAACAACCCACAACGTGTAGCGTACGCGACACGGTGACTCAAGCCGCAACCCAAACACAAAAATCCACCGCCAGAAATACCTAAGCTAGATCAACTGACTGCGCGAACATGATCAACCTCGAAGACTAAATGGCCTCTCGAAAATCGAAAAAGCTCGCGATAAACCTTCAGTTTCAGCAGGCATCGACACTGAAGCCCTGTAGATCGCCGATTCCTAACCGATGGAAGCAAGCAAGTCATGCTTCACTAGTAGCATTTAGAAGCTTAGAGCTTGCAGTCTCTAACATGTCTGGCTTACCCAGGCTGCATCCGGTGCAGCTGATGGTGCTGTTGGAAGTACTGCGGTTGCTGCTGCAGCTGTTGCTTTGGGAGCAGCTGTTGCTGCACCTGTCGCTGCTCCGTCTGCAGCTGACGCATCGGCGGTTGGACCTGCACCTTGTCTCCCTGATGTGCCATTGCAGGGGCGGAGGCGGAGGCCCGTGCCTGTGCGTCAGCCAAGGCTTGTGCCGGCTTGGCCCGGTCAGGCTCGGCAGACTGGGACTGGGCAGCCTGGGCAGCTTGGGGCTGGTCCAACCGGGAAGCCGCGGCAGGTGCAAAGCCCTCGGTTCCCAGCGCATGCTTCAAGAAAGCTCAGCTGGCTCTTCTGTCCCTTCCCCTTCTGCCTGGGGCTCCCCGCATTTCCACACAAACAGAATCCGCGGCAAGAGCGACCCAAGCAGGCCAAGATACGCCCTCGGCACACGACTCACGCCCCACCCCTGCCCCGAGCTGAGTCTTTCGGTTGGGGCCACCGCTTCTGATGCCAGATTCCTTCTTCAGGAGACGCGGCCAGTCGGACAGGTCACGTGCCTTTCGCTCAACCTCATTGGACAAGACAAAAAACTTCAGACTTGTTTCAAGCGCGTTCTTGGGTATGTATAGAGCTTTGGCCGCTGCGTGCTGTTTCACTTTCTGAATCTATGCAGGTACGTACTGCGAAGAAATCCCCACCCAGGCAGTGTCAACATCTCAATACCTGCCAGAACCCGACGCGTTGAAGCAGAACTGTGGCAGCGCGCCTGACTGGATACCACATCAAGCTGTTCTTCACGTGACCTGCGGGTGCAAGAACTTCAGAGGCGTTGGGTTAAATAATGGCGGGCAGAGGTGTGGAGGCAGCCTGTGTAATTGCATTTGTGGTCGGGCAGCCAACGCGCTGTTGAGCTGTCGAAGATTTTCCTCACAGCTGCCAGCAAGCAGCTCCGTGGATCTTAGCCCTCGTCCGACTTACAGGGGAAGCCGTGCATGTCCAAATTGCATGCAGCGCGGTCGTGTCCTTGATTCTGTTAGCCCATTTCTCAGTCTGGCGCAGCTTGGCGGTCACCTCCTGCATCTGCTGCCAGTTGGGGTTCGTCTGCATGGCGGTCGCCGGTGATGCCATTGAGCGCAGAGGCTAGACATGAAATCAGGCTGGGCGTGCAGCCAAGAGCTATCATGCAACCAAGCTGTCAGCGCCGCTCAGTCGACGCACACCGAGGCGGCCTGGCCTGGCCTGGCCTCGACCAAGTTGTAGAGTTCGCAGCCCTTCGGAAGATCGGTGCCATTTTTCTCATTCTCTCTGCACACAGTGAGACCTAATGTATCCTGAAAGGCACGTGTTCGCGCCTTGAAACTCAGTGCCACTGCACAGGAACCCAAACCGCTCTGCGGTATTCTTGCCGTCCTCCCTGTTTTGGCGGCCGAAGGCCCCAGGCCAGATTTAGAATTTGATCGCTTGTAGCAGGGAGGGGCAACCTAAACCGCCTGTAGATAAATTTGCACATGTCCGGTGCCGGTTTGCCTAGCCGCGGGCTCTGCTGTGGTGATGTCGTAATGCTGTGACGCCTTTTCTACATTTCTATCTCTTCGACTTCACAAGCACACTGCGCCGCCGCTGGCGAGTATCCAGAGTCTGGATAGGTCCGGATAGGTGAAACAGACATGCTGAGATCAGCTTATGCAGCAAGATGGCACCTTCGATCAGGTTGGAAGAAGGCAATAAGGCATCGACTTCAACTGCCGACTTTGCATTGGGTGATAGCTTGCTTAAATTCATAGATTGTGCGAGAAGGAGCTCGGTCACAGGGTTCTTGAACAACCCAGAATGCCGAGGTAAATACATGACAGACCCCCAAGCACGGTGTGGATCGCGATGATCCGACCCTATCCAACCCAACAAGAAACTCTCTAATTCCTAGATTGGGCTTTGGACATTGGTAAATCGTGCTACTGCCTTGAATCAACATCATGATCAGGAGCGAGAATCCACTAACAGCAGTGCCGAGCCTGCCCGTGGTCGGTGTCCTGCCACATCTACGTTATCGAAATAGCCCAAGACTTGCCATTGCAGGGTCGCTGCTAGAGAACTGTGGAACAGCAGGTCCGGATGGTCACTCGACGCCTGCAGGTTCAGCCAGGCAGTGCCATTAAGGAAACGTCTTGCAAAAGCTTTCTGCCAGTTTCTGCCTCTGCCTCTGAGTCTTCGTTGTCGTCGCGATCGATGGCAGCTGCATAGCAGCATACAGGCCAAATTCCTTTCATTGCTGTCATCGATTTCAGCCAGGTGGCAACGACAGTGCAGCCATCTGCAGCTGCCACAGGGCAACACGGACGCAAGTCCTGCGCTGCAGACTCGTTGATCTGGGCAGGCAACCTGGCAGTGGCTCTGTGCGGCTCAGAGATGTCGCGCTGTCATGTTGGCAAGCCTTCTCTCCCCAGTCCCAGGAACCTGCCTTGTTCAGCATCGCTTCAGCCTGCTTCGAGCTTCAAGATATCTCTGTGACTCTATGTTTGGATGCAAGCTGGATATCTGCAGTAGGACATCCTCAGGTCCTGGCATCTGGATAAACATCATGCAGTTCGATCTCACTGTCGCTGTCTGTGTTTCTGCCTTCCTGCAATGCAACTGAGTGAGAGAGATCCTTCCTTGCGGCAGAGAGGCTCTCTGCTCCATATAAGCACTGCTACTACCCATTGGGAAAACGCGACTGCACCATGCACCGCGGCCGGTCAGTCAAGAGACGGCATCGCCAGCTACGCGTGCAGTACATGCCTCCACAACTACCGCAACAATGGCAGTAGTATCGTCTGGGTTACCTCGCGCCACCAGCGGCATGGCCGCCTCACGTCCAGATGCGCTACAACATTCTCGATTTGCTAACTCGGCAAGTCGTGCCCTTTACGAATAAGTTCATGGGTTGGGCCTGAGGGTAGTCGACTCTCGACCGAAGCTGTGAAGCTGCAAAACTCGACAGAGGTCAGGCGGCCGCAAACCTACCCCATATACTTTCCCGCCCGGCCCAATCCAATCCCTGACTGCTTTGTTAATTCTTCGGGAAAACGGCTCGCTGTCAACCAGGATCTACCCAGCTCAGTGAAGCACCGGCTGGTCTGCAACGAGAATGACCTTGGGTCTCTCCGGAGGATCCTATCAAAGCGCCTCCACAGTCTCTGCCTCTGTTCCGATCTCTGGCTTACATGTAATGAAGCCTGGCAGCATTCTGGATCGCGGCATCGACCAAGCTAGTGGCGGCTTGCTGCAGCTGCAACACCTGCGAATCTGGGCCAAGATTAAGTCAGCTGTGACGAACGGCATGAAGTCTGAAAGCTGAGAGCTGCACAGAGGGAGTCGGACGACCTTTGAACAACACCGGCAGCTGCTGGACCAACGGGCGACTGCAGTCCAGGGAGCAAATGGCCAGCAGTCAATTCCGCATGTCACCGCGTATACAGCACCCTTCCACACTTTCTTCATGGACTTCTCCAAAGCCAACAATCAAGACAATGGAAAAAGCATCAGAATCCATCAGAACGCGTGAATTTATGGGCTTCCTCCTTCTGGACCACTGAGCCTGGCTTATGCCAACATAGCAGCATGATTGTTGGTTTTTCGTGGAAAGTGCAGATGTCATCTTCATACTCCCGAAAAAGAACACGCTGGTCAGCAGGCATCCCCGTTCCCTTTTGGCTCACCCGCCTCCGCGATCTCGCAGACCCATGACCTGAAGTCTAGGACAGAGATGCATCAACTGCTTGTGCAACCTTGGGCTGGGGCCTTGATCGTCGAAGCTGCACTGCGTGCCTCAGCTCAAAGGGTTGATGATAAAATAGTGCAATGGCGTGAACAACGGGAACTGCTAGACAACACAGACAATTCCAGCTGTTCGCGCAGGCAATGACATGTGGTCAGAAAAATGGCGCCCTCAGGCCGGGCCTAAGGCAGCCCTGAGAAAGCGGTTCCATGCCCTCCAGCTCTTGCAACTTCGACCGGTGTCACTGTGGTTGGTATCTGCTGCAAATCCCTTTCGTGGTACGGCAACTCTAGCACTAGGGCCCCGGCAGTGGCGCTGCACGATGTTGGTGATGGCCTGGAACAACAAGCAGATGACATCTCGCTAAAGTTGAACCACCACCAGGTACCAATACAGACCGGTACTTCGTCGTAGCATATCGCAAAGCTGCATGCAGAAACCGCCATTTTCGCCACATGCCGAACTGCCACAGCCGTCCTCGTCACTGAGATTGTCGAACAGGCCGTCAGACCCGAGCACAACCACATCGCCGTGCTTGATTTGTACCTGCATCGAGCGCAGAATGTGCTACGGCCGCACATTGCAGAGCGGGAGGCGCACCGTATCCAACCGAAAGTCTTCCACCAACTCTTTCTGTTCACCCGTAACTTGGTGAGGAAGCCGGAGCACCTGATACTTTTCACAGGATCCGATTGGGGGATTGAGCAGCGTTGCAGTGCCTGTGCCGGGGTCTTTTCACCCATCATGACCCGCTGTGAGCGGAAAGTGCTGCGAAGGTTGTCCCCATTGGTTGGCCTCGTCAGGCCACAGCGCAAGTATGAAACGTCAGGCAGTGCATTGTCTGCAGCACAAGTTGTGTTAGACAAATCGTGCGGCTGCCTTAACAAGAGCATTGCACAGTCTCCCAGGGTGACTACTGCCAAGCGCTGGCAGTCCTTTCAGGAAGCCCGTCAGCGGACAGGATTATACCGGCAACGGCAGACCAGGCCCGTGTCCTCGATGCCGGCGAGGAGCACAGTGGTAGCTCCCAGCGAGGAGGTTCCCGCAAAGGCTTTCTGCAACAGGGAAGCTTGCGCTATGCAGTCGATTCTTCGTAGTCATTCTCACAATGATGCCACGCATGTGAACTTTTAAGAAAGCCAGGAACTAGAGCAGTGAGAAGCTCCACAGAAAACCATCAAATCCAGATCAGCAGATTTGGCAGAAAATTCGAAAATGAAAACGTCATCTGAATGAAACCCAAAGACGATGACGAAACAAAGATAAACAAAGGACTACAGCGCCGCGGGCTGGGACGAAAGCCTTAGAGTTGACCAGGCTGCTGAAAGGCGACTCGCCGAGATAGACAAATAGACATACACGCATACGTCGCACGCGTGTGTGAATGCACACGAACATACAGCCATGCATGCACAAATACATGCATCCCTACATATACCTACATACATACGTACATACATACACACACACATACACCACACACATACAAATCACATACATATGCATGCACACATACATACATACATACACAGACACAGACACAGAAACACACACATGAATACATACGTACCTAGATACATACATACTTACATACATACATACAGACATGTGCCGATGCATAGGTGCAGGCACATGAAATGAACATCTAGGCCCAACACGATGCAAGACAATCCAACGTCCAGGCGAGATCTGAACTGCTTCCAAAAGAATCCACACGTCAATGCTGTCCAAAAATCGAAAGGAGCTGGGAGCACCGGCCAGCATCAGTAGCATCAGAAGAAACCCGTTTCTCGTGCCGAAGCCCTGCAAGAGCCCCCAACATAAGGCTCGACATCTTGCACCAAAAAGTTCTAGCCTGGGTGCGGGATATTGCATGGACAAACCCGACACAGAGCCCGCTGCAAAACCAAGAGAAACGATGGGAGCACACATCAGGAAATGATCAACTACATCAGAAGGCATCCACCCGGCAGATCATGACATGCAGTATTTGCATTTTCCATTATTTACCCATGTGAATTGTATGAGGTGTTCAACTGCTTTGGCTTCTGGAGTTCGAATCAGGGGAATTAATATACAGTTGGTTTTTCTTGAGAGCTGCTGGTCTTTTTCCGGGCGAGCTGGATCAGTAAGCCTGGTGGGTGGAGCTAGCCAGTCGAGAGCTGGATCCCTTCCCTTCCTCCAGGCAAAGGCCGTTCACAAGAAGCGCTGCATCCATGTCAAGAGGGGATGCTGCTGTGGAGTTGGTGCTAAGCAGGGATGTTGCTAGTTGTCATTACACCAGCGTATTGGCCTTTCTGGGTCGAGGCACCGTCTCCTGCAATTTGTTGGATCATGGAGTTGAGGATCTCATGCATGCTGCGCTTCTCCA